CCCCAAAACCCCAAAACCCCAAAACCCCAAAACCCCAAAACCCCAGTTGGTGAACCCCAAATTGAATATTTTTTACATATCTAATTAGTTCGAAAATTCTCTAAAATCTTAATTCATACGATGATAAGCAATATGAAATGCTGAATAAATTACTAATGCAAGAAAATAATAAGTAGGAATCTTCAAAAGATAATTTTACATCACCCAACTGTTCTCTACTTTTTTCCTTTTCTAATCAAACATACAATTTATCAAAAAGGCAATCTTTCACTTCCTATCATTCGATGCTAATTTGGGAGTTTAATAGAGAGCCAAATGAATGAAAACACACAAATTTGATGAAAATCTGCTAGCTAGCAGAATTTTCAAAAATTCAACACTCTTGCAAAGTAAATTTTCTGAGTTAAAGCTTAGGCTTCAAAAAAAATCGATTTTCTAGGTGAGAAAGTTTGAATAATGTGATCTAAATAATCGGTTCGGATGCTAATAAGCATCGAAGCCTCAGAAATTTACTGTAAAATCTTTTAAATGAAGGAATCTATGCCAAAATGGTAAAAAGATCGATATTCTTGCAGACCAAATAAGAATATAACAGTCTAAGAGACCTAAAAAGATATAATTATATACAGATCCTCTTCAATGTTGTTTCATTGCTAGCCACTTTTCGGTCTTAGCTTATTCTGAATTTTTCAAACTCCTACTACTTATTATCTCAGACTTATTATTTTTAAGTTTATTCAAACTAAAATACAGCTTAAAGCAGCCTGATAGCTGTCTGGAACATTCTCTGAGATTGGAAAGATAATTAGGCACTTTTGAAAAATTAACGACTTCGAAAACTAAGAAATTGTAAAAACTATTAGAGTTCTATGAATCTGATATAACTTATTAGTAAATAACAAACCTCACCGTTGAATATAGACTTATCTGATCTCTGTGAGGGTTTAATGTCTTGTAGTGAACAAGGTGTTTAGACATACGAATTATTTCATCTTATTTGGAATTCCAAATTATTGACAAAATTCAATAATTGATTTGAGACAATTGAGATATCTATTTTTCCTACTTTAGCAGAGAAATATCAAATAATCAAAAATTGTTCTCAAACAAACAGCTTATTATCTACAAGTTATGCCAGTTTATCTTCTCTTTATTGTCCCAAACCTCTCTTTTGGTGATGAAAATTTAATTTTTAGTGAAAGGAATTACACCACTTTGATGTTTAAAAACTAAGATTTTAAAATTGATTCTTGATAACTGTATTAATTGAAGAAACATTATTTTTACTGAGATCCCAACTCTAACATCACCATCACGTTATGACTCTGTGAGCTTATTGTGAGGACCTAATAACAGTGTGCTTAATTTACAATCAAGCCAGATTTTCCTGTAAGGTCTTGCTTCTCAAGCTTGGCACTGATGCCTATCGTTCTTCTCCCCTTTTTATTCCACTTTCCTCTGGATTTTAACTTGGATCTAGCATTCATGCCTAGGTGGCTGAATCTATCACCATTAGCTACTTCTGCACTCTTCTTACTCTTGCTTAGCCTAGATACAGTCAGTTTAGTTCTGGAGGAGGTTGCTTACATATAAGATATACGCTTGGAAGCAGAAGGCTTCTGTAGTAAAGCCGCTGGAGAGGGCTTACGAGAATCATCATCACTCATTTCCTCATAAAATGAATCATTATATTTAGCTATGGATGAGGACGAATGAACTTACTTGAAACTCTCTTAAACTGAGACACATTCTTTGTTGTCAGATTCCTAGATAGCTTCTTCTTTGATACTTCAGATCTCTATTGAAAGGAATTAGATAAGAGTGAAAGGTAAATTTCAAAGTAATAGGTATAAAAGTGTATCGTTTTTAATTATATAGAATGAAATTAGTGTCTACTAGAACTTGGAATAATGCTGATCTTGGTGAGTGCCAAAATTATTATAAGAGCTCGAGGTTCTTCCTTCCGGTTAATGGAGCAACAGGATACTAAATAAGCAGTTCGAGAGGGTAAAAATAGTATATGGCTCTTTCTTCACTATATTCAACAGAGCCTAAACATTAGAATATTAGCAGCTAAGATAGCTTAGAAAATCTAAAATACTTGTTTGTTAGTCTTACCTTCGTACTAGCCCTTGTATACTCACTTCTGGTCATACTCCCGATTGGGATAACATCGCTAGATTCTCTTTCTTTAACATTAATTCTTCTTCCAAGACAGCAATTTTGATTTCCCATTTATATATTCAATATTTATGACAGCTGTGGGGTTTTGGGGTTTTGGGGTTTTGGGGTTTTGGGGTTTTGGGG